GTAGCAATTGCATCCCCCAAGTTCGATTGGTACGTCAACCCATGTTGTGACATGTCAACATACCCAGATTGACCTCCAACAAACCCCTCTCCTGCCGCTTCAGTCGCCATTTCATTATCAACCTCCATGAAGAATGGGTCCATAGCTGCATGCAAACGGATCCAATTGTGCACTACACAACATGCAATCACGAGGGGTCCTTGTCATGTTGACTAGTACTTTGGCATGGACTGCAATATTAGAAAGCGTTTCTTTCGAATCCCAAATGTCCTTTTTATGACATTCCGTAACGAAGAATGTCGGTGGTTAAATAATTCATTGGGTCTAGAATAATGACGGTTATGGAATTCTTGCAAGTGATAGCGTTGTGAACGAAATGGGGCAAGAAATCTAAGTATGTTTGTGAATCTGGCATCCACTAATTAATACTTGCCCACATGTAAATAATTTTTGTAATGCTCCCTCAAATACATGTACACAATTATCATATTTTAAAAAAGTACAGTGTGTTATTTGGTAACACTCACCGTGGGGTGGGTGTGGAAAATGTATATCATCTCTTGCAATTGAGTCAACTAAAATTGCGTTGTCATGGGTGTTTCCTTCCCATCTAGAATTGATAAATGTGAACAAGATGTCGAAGTCCGAAGCTACAAATACATTTTGCGAGATCGTGGCTTTGTAACCACGAAATGTATTCTATCTTGAGCAGGGACCCATGCATCCACCAATGTGTCATCAATAGCACCGACACAATCCTACATCATATTATTAGTTTTACATTAGACACAAAACAAGCATAGATATTACTCTGAAAAATGTAACAAAAAAATTTCTTCGTTACTGTTATTGCAAATTTACATGATAAACATATAGTCATACCTTGAACCAAGGAAAAAATCTCCTATCATTTAAAAATTTTGCTGATATATCCTTTTGGTTCCGTGGTTTGATAACCGTTGTTGTAAGCATGCACAATGCCCGCATAATGATTTTGTTGTGCTGACAAATAGTTTCAGTGGAGTGTTGAAATCTATCAGCCAATAGCCTATGTTGGTCATTTTGTGCAAATGTATATAAAAAATGCCAAGCAATTCCTCGACACTGATATGCATATATTTAGTATTAACAAAGCCATTTTGAAGTAAGGCGTCTTTCAATAAAATGAAGGTTGGGGCATCTATTCGCATGATGTCCATCATTGTTGCAAGATGGCCAGTTAATAAACTGAAGATGTAATCATCACCTTTGAATGGACAAGTTCGTTGCGGTCGTCTTCTAGTTAACGCATTCATATGTTCATTGATAAAAGCAATCATCAAGAAGTCCATAAAATCTTCCATAACCTCATCCTCCTCTGATGAGCTTACCATTGCATTGTTTTCTATGTCAAATGACATGTTGTTTCGGCTACATAACAATAAAAGCACAATTATAATAAATGATTAACAAGAGGATAATTGTTATCGTTATTGATAAACCTGAAATTAGCCACTATAATTAATTTGTTGGCCTTAGTCATTTATTGAAGTAAATTGAAATATGCAGTCAATGTAAACACTGTTAATATTTATTCTCCTTGTTTGACATGATGAGCCTTGAATTTGTAGATTATATATTGTGTATAAAATTGGAAATTGAATCAGAAATAAAACGAACATGAATGAAAGAAGAAGAAGAAGATCACATGAAATATAAAACATAACTGGGTCACAAAAATATAAAACATAAACATACGAAAAAGGATAAAAAAAAACAGCATGTCATGAATCTTAGAAAATAAAAATAAAAAATTGAACTCATAAAGCATGTTTCACAACCACTAAAAAAATCACAAACTCCATCAAAGACACAGCTTCACAGTTGACTACAAAGCTAGGATCATTGATAGGCACATATGCGCAGGAGTGCGCATAAAAAACCTCTTCCATTCCTTATCTTTGAATAGTGTCAATGCCCTAATGTACTGGATCGGTAGCATGTCCCCAAGCTGAAGCAAGGCATCTTGACATGCGTCAAGGGAATAGTCATCACCACCTGCGCTTACAGCCTCTATGTCTGTTGATCATGCACGGGATTGTTCCGTCTTTGCCTATACGTAGGTATTAAAAGCTGCACAAATATCATCAAAGCCACTTGACCGTGACTGTTTAAAACGACCACTATCACTCTGATTATGGCCTCTCTTGTGACTTTTGCCCTTGGATGTTTCCATGTACTCATCTCCAAATGATTCAACAACAATGGCTTCAGCCGCATTACTCCCACCAGCTCCAAGCGACCAAAATTTCTTGAGCATATTGTCCTCTTCATCAGAGTCAGGGGCTCCTTATGTGGATGCACGGGCCAAGGCCCCTATGGCACAATAGTGTTCTACAATTTTGGCCATTTTGTCAAAATACTCAAATCCTTTCGTTCTAAATTTCTTTATGTTTTTGATGCCTACCTCCAATTGTAAAATATGAAAATAAGCATATGGTACGTGTGACAAAATTTTACAAATAAATCTGGAAAAAAAAAGGTATAGGTTAATTCAATATCTTATCCTAAAAATCATCAGGTGCAACAACTGTTCCTATAATCGGATCCCATCCCAAACCAGTCTATGCCTGAAGCCGCTTGAAAGTTATGTAATCAGCTTTCAGTCGCTGATATTTTTGTCTCACCTATTTTGGTGTGTATTAGAACCCATACAAATTTTGCAATGCTTAGCCGTCCAGACAGTACTACGGCATTTTGTTTGGTTTTTTTGCGCCTCTTCTCTCAACATGTTAATTAGCTCTAATTCAATTCTAGAGCTCCACAGTTTTGTGTCTTGATTATCATCTGAATTGTTGTTATCCATTTAACACACAATTTATATGTAAAGTAAGCTTATGTAGATATTGGAAAATAACAAGACCTCAAATCAACTTGTGCATAAGTGCTAAGAATAATTTATCCATAGAACTTAAGTTTCCAATAGCAATGCAAGAACTATGTATCAATTCTGTGTCAGTTCAAATATGATAAATGAAGATTAATCACAAAAAGTTGTTAAAGAGTGTTGTGAAAAAGCATAAGAAGAACAAAATATTAATCACAAAAGTTGTTAAAGAGTGTTGCTCCATCGAAGTTCACACAGTATTATAAGAAAGCAGAAGAAGAGCAGAAGAAGAGAAGCAGCAAGAAGGTGATTGGCGGTCGACCGAGAAACAGCAGAAAAGGTGATTAGCAGTCGACCGACCGGAAGTCCAAGTGGACGATCGGCCAGATGTCCAGGTGGACAACTGGCTCAGCCACTTTAGCCTAGATTAGAGAGAACCCATTCCACTTTCTCATCTATTCCATACCAGATCAGCTATTCCCAGATCAATTGAAGGATATACGTACCAGAGGAGTAGGAGTAGAATAGTTGTCATCGGTGACAGAGTGGTACAGTGGCTGGATATGCGCCACTTCAGTAGCCATCTAATTTGAGAAAACACTTCACAAATTTGACCTGAGACAAATAAATTTGGGGATTAAGCAAAAAATCAATCAATATAGAACCTCCACATATATTTTGAGAGAAATTTTTGATCCACTTTACCTCTTTATTGTCGTTGCTTCGTTGCCCGGAGGGTGAATCGACCATAACGCACAAAGTGAAAGTCAGTTGATTTGTGGGAGCTGGTCGATGCCAATTTATAGGTAGGAAGGAATCAGTTAACAGGTTGGACGTGATTGAAGAACTACAACTCTCCCATGAAGCATCTTCAGCTTTGAATTTCTTTGCACGTGAAGCTTTTCAAAATAAAGAAGATGGCAGAGAGAGAATATGTACGTTGTGACACTTTTTAGAGTGAAGAAGACGAAACAGAGAGAAATTTGCCAAACGTGAAAGAGAATTACATTTTGAAATGTGTGGTCGAATCACATTTTAAAAAACTCCATCCAAACATGAAATGCAAATGGAGGGGTGGAATTATATTTACAAAACATAACCAAACACAGCCCAAGCATTTCCATCGATAGCTAAATACGAAATTCATGAATAACGATGACGATTTCACATGTTTAGTGACATTAATTGCGCTTTTATTGTTATGTGGCTCAAATAGTATGCCATCGGATACAGAAAACAATGAAATGATAGTTTCATCAGATGAGGATCAATTTGTGGAACACTTTATGGACTTCTTAATTGATTTGTTTTCTACATGACAATATGAATGCATCTACTGTAAGACGATCCTAGCAAACTTGCCCATTCAAAGGTGATGTCTACATAATGGGTTTGTTCGAGCATCTTCAACGGTGAATCATTTATTTCACCAAATTTGAGTAAAAACTCCATCTAATATCCAGCACTCCAATGGAGCATTTTTGGCTGTCATCAACACACAAGTCGACCGAGGAGACGACCGACCAAACGTCTGGCAGGTTGACCGACAAGAGCAATCCACCACTTCCGAAAATTAGTTTTCCCTCCATTTTTGCCCTCAATTCCTTTGCTATTTGTTTTTCTATCCATTAATTATTTTCATTCCTTTTTGCGTCCATTAATTATTTCCCTCAAAAAATATATATAAACAGATTAAACTATGTAAATACACCAAGCAAACAATGTTGTATTTGGAACCAACCCAAAACTAAAAAGAAAAGCATAATGACTTCTTCAACTTCTTATTTGTTCACTGATTTTTCACCTTCCTCTTCTTCCTCATCCTCTAATGATGAAAGTGATGATGTAAAAATTGTTTCACCTGTTGGTCTTTATGAGACAAATAATGCTAGTATGATACAGATGTTGACAGGAAGTGATCAACCAAAGAAAAAAGGTGGCTCTGCTATAGGACATAAGTACATACGTCGCGAAAGAAGAAAGGGTCATGATCGATTGGTTGCAGATTATTTTGCTATAAATCCAATTTATTCATCTTTAACATTTTGGAGACGTTTTAGAATGCGTTGTGATCTGTATCTATGAATTTTGCATGCCATTAAAGCACATGACACATATTTTGTTCAAAAAAAAGATGCAGCTCATTGTCTCCACTTCAATAGATGACTCAGTCGTATATGGAGTGGCAGCAAAAGCGGTTGATAATTATGTGCAAATTGGGAAAAGCACTGGAATTGAAAGTTTGAAACACTTTTGCAATGGAATTATCGAAATCTTTGGACCTGAATATCTTAGATCTCCATCAACAACTAATACTGCTAGATTACTTGCTATTGGGGAAGTTCGTGGGTTTCTAGGTATGTTGGGAAGCTTAGATTGCATGCATTGGGAGTGGAAATATTATCTAATGGCATGGCAAGGTCAATATGTAGGCCATCAAAAAAAGCCAACTATAATTCTTGAAGCAGTAGCTTCTTATGACTTGTTGAATTGTCATGAATTTTTTGGAATGCCTGGATCACACAATGACTTGAATGTCTTGAATCGTTCGCCCTTATTTTATGATCTTACCCAAGGGAAAGTTCTGCCAACTAATTTCATAGTTAACGGTCACACTTACAATATGGATTATTACCTTGCTGATGGTATATACGCTCCATGGGCAACACTGGTGCAGACAATCTCTTCTCTCCAAAGAGCAAAGAAGCAACATTTTTATATAATGTAAGAGTCAGCAAGGAAGGATGTAGAGCGGGCATTCAGAGTGCTCCAATCCTGATTTGCAATTGTAGGTGGTCCAGTACGTTTTTGGGATCCCAAAATCATTAGTAACATAATGAAGACTTGTATTATATTGCACAATATAATTGTCGAAGATGAGATACACTCATATCTTGATTTGGATTATGAAATATCATCAAGCACCTCAACATTAGTACTGCCTACTACCAGTAACAATGACTTTGAATCGATTATGTCCCGTCATTTAGATATTAGAGATAAGAATACATATCATGCCCTCCGCAAATGATTTAATTGAACTTACGTGGTAACTTCATGGTGAAAAGTAACTCAACCATGTGGACTAGAGGATGAACTTTTTGTTGGCTTTTTTGATTGGGAAGTGTTTAGGGTGATTGATTAGTCAATGTAGATTGTTGTTTTGGTAGTAAAGATGCTCTTAAACCTGTACACATATATCAGTTTTGGAACTAAATGCATGAAATAAATATATATAATGTTTTGTGGGGATGGTCTTATCTTATTCCAGATGATTATTGGATTTCATTATGTTACTGTGTTTTTCACAATTTACATTTTACTGCTATCTGAGTTTTATTTGTAATGCATAACAGTTGACTTTGCGTCACCAATTTGATTATGGGAACAAGTCAATTATGAAATTTTATTTGAAGAAATTACACTTTGTATCTAAACTATTATTGGTCCTTTAATTTTGTCAATATCCACTTTATTGTCAATATACAATTTACTGATCTAAAATGACACTGACCTTTAAATTTATATGATGATAATAGTGTCTAATTTGTTTACCCTCTGCAAAACTATTATTTGTTATTACTTTGATCTTTAAAATAGTACATTTTTTCCACATTGGTCCTTTAGTTCATAGCCAAAAAAAAACTAGTGTGAAATAATTTGACAGTAGTTACCATCTCCAAATTACAATTTGACAGTAGTTGATACTATTTTCTTTTGTGGGTTTATTTTCTTTTATATATATATATATATATTATTTCAATGTATATCTGTCGTGCATTTTGGGAGGATGGGAACATCAATGCATGCATTGTAATGTTCTGCAAGCCTGAGTGAATTGAATTTGCATGGAAAGGCTCAAAAACATTGAAGGCCACATCTACTTCATTCATGATCAACCACCTCATTCAATTTATACATCTACCTCATTGATTGTCATCTATTGCTCACATATCTATAAATCACTATAAGTATGTCTGTATGTTTGTGGTGTGAACGAATTCTTTGTAGCGGCACCAAAAACTGCAAACCACAAGCAGAAAGCAAAACAAGTAACTGCACACAGCCAATTGACCGAGTTGACATCAGGCAGGACGACCAGCCAGTCAACCGGTGGCTTCAATCTCCACTTGAACTGTAGACAAGCTCTAGGGTTGAGGTCTCAGCCTTTCTGTTCCTTTTTGTATTGCTTACCTTTTCACACCATTTTGTAACTATTTCTCGAACCCCCATAGTGCAATATTCACACCAATTCTCTCCAACATTCACATTTACCTCTCCCAATCAAATCCTTAATATTTTCAAATAGTCATGCCTAGAACCAAAAGAGCAAGAAGTGAACATGGACCGTCTTCCAACCCTGTTCCGCATCAACAACCACCTCAACAACAGTATCCAACTCAAGATTTTCTGACTTACAGTCATGAACAAGCCTTTCCAAGCTTCTACAATTGACCTATTGTCACTGGTAGAAGGCTAAATCTTGCTCTTAATATCATGCTCTGTTGGTTACCAAACTTGAAACTATGGGGTGGATAAATTTGATCAATTTATCACAGAAGGTATATCCTCATCTTGTTTCTCTTTTTTATGTTCACTTGGAACGTATATCTGAAGAAGATGGAGACTATACTATTAAGTCTTATGTAAAAGGTAAACACATAGAATTTGACATCCCCACTTTGGCACAAATTATTGGCATTGAGCAAGGGGGGATGCAAGTCTACTTTCACAATGAGTATGAACTGATTGATATTGTTGGCAACATAACTGAAGTAAATTCTACTATTTGTGAGAGTAGATTTATCGGAAGTAATTTGCAAGCAAGACATTTGAAACCCCACCTTCGTATTCTCTACCGATACATTATAGAAAATGTCACTCCGAAAGGAGGACATTTTGATGTTGTTCTAGTTTTTAATGTTTAATTGCTCTATTGTTTTGAAGTTGGCCACGAATTGGATTTATACTATATACTCATGGTGGTTGTAAATCTTAAAATCAGTGGCCGGTCATTAGTTTTTGGAGCTCTACTTACAAAAATTTTCAAAGCTTTCAAGATAAAACTTATAGGTGAAGCAGAAACAAACATATCTTCTACTATTTAAGAGTACAAACTCACCTGAACTGGTGGCAGTGATCTGTTATTGCATAGTCTGAATGCTCCAAATGCTCTAAATGCACCAACAGATGATCCCTAACATGATGAGAATGCCATGCCACCACCTCAACAACCTCAATACTGAATTGATTTTTTTGTCTATGGAACAAGAACGACACAATCAGCACGTTCAATGGGAACAACACATGGCGAATCATTTCGATGCATTTGGCTTCGCTCAAAACGCATTAATTCAACAATTTGGTGAGTTTCGTATGAACATTGAAAGACGTCATGAACAAGCAAGCAATCGCATTAAGCAAATTGAGCACCAAGTGACTGACAACTAACATCACTGCTTCCCTCCACCACCACCTGACACTAACCTTTGAAGTTATTGACGAAGAGAATAGATGTACTACTAATATGTGGGTTTTTTTTTTGTTTGTTTGTTTTTTTTTTTTTTTTTTTGGATGTACTACGAGTGTGTTTTTGTTTTTTGGTTCTTTTGTTTTTGTTTAATGGCTATACTACGAGTGTATGTGTGTGTGTTTTTTTTAATGGATGTACTATGAGTGTGTGTTTTTTTATTGGATGTACTACTAGTATGTGGTTTTACTTTTTGAATGGATGTGCTATTTGTGAATGGTGAACTTCAAATGTGTCTTGAGAACCCTTAAAATAAAAAAAATAAAAAAACACCCAAAACACTATTGCAATAGATGACAATTTGCAACTGATACACACTGTTGCCTCACAAAAACATTATCACTTGGAAAATAAAATAATAATAAATGTTTATTTTGCAAAATTGTTGCAATAGATAGCAATAGCAATAGGAACCACATTATCAACACTTACGAAACAAAATATTTTGCAAAGCTGTTACTTTGGTAAGCAATAGGTCCGGCTCAAGCCTAGCTATAGCAATTGAAATAATGGCTTTAGGCCTTAATTGCAAAAAAAAAAAAAAAAAAAAAAAAAAAAAAAAAAATCTAAAAATTTCCATTTATTATCATGTCTCAAATTTTTCATAGCTAAATATTTTAAATAACTTCCTATATTTTATGAGACAAGTTGTTATCAGCAAACACTACTTTTCATCATTATTTATTTATAAAATAAAATAAAAAATTCAAGAAATATCATTACTATGAGTAGATCATTAATAAAAGAAATTGAACATCATTACTATAAAAAGATCATGACTAAAACAAATTGAACATAATTAGTAAAACAATAATAACTTAAACAAAAAAAAAAATATGAAACTAATTTGGAGAAAAAAAGTGGTCTTCATAAAATAGTCAAGCAAATCTATTTGTTGATTGAAATAAGATTTGCCGCTGAAGTTCTTCATAGTAGGACCTTTGCATAGGATTTAAATTGGTCATATCTATTGACATTATTTTATACTACTCATTTCATTGTTCTCTTTCATTCATCATAGATAATATTTTTAGTTGTTCCTCCCTATCATTGGCCCTTCTTCGACGTTCTGCAGCCTTTTGTTCACATTCTATCGCCTTTTGTTCATCTCGATCAACACTTCTAGAGAACATAGTTGACAACACTTCAATAATTTTAGGCTAGTTGCCTGCCATTTCATCAAACCTAACATCGTGACGTGCTTGTTTCTTCAACTTTTCTTTTGCAGCCTTAGTACCAATTGGTCGTGTTGATGTATTAGTCCATTGTTGGTCCAAATATATATTGTTATTGGGTTCCGACACCTCACCTTCAGTTGCTGGAGTCGAATATAGATTCGCTGGTGGTGTGGGTCTCTTGCATTGTGTTCTAACTTGTATCAAATGTAAAGTCTTTTTTTTTTTTTTTTTTTTCAAATTAAAGTTTGTTTTTTTTTGGATCGCACGATACATGCGCTTAGCGTCAGTAACCCAAAAAATGAAATAGATAGTAAGTATAACAAGTAGATACAAATCATAAAATATATATGCTATCACAACCAATCAAAATTACCTTGCCTGCCTCATTTGTTCCACTTTGTTGCCTCAATTTAATTTGTTCAAGAAAACCACAGAATTTATTGATTGCTTTTTGCATCACAAACCAACGATGAGACAAAGAAACACGATTTTGATTTGATTGACCATTCAATTGTGAATTAAAATAAACGAGTATCCATTCCCAGAATATTGCCATGGTCTGACTATTACCTGTAATGGGATCTTGAGACACGGCCAACCAAGATCTACATAAAGTTTGATTTTGCTATAATGATGAACGCTTTACCACGGGGAACACAAGAAGTTTCAGAAATAATACTGATATCATTGCTCTGGACAAAAGTTTGTGATTTGTCAAACATTTCAAAGTCTTCCATAGTTTGATGGTAAAATTTGTACAACTAAACCAATTCAAAAAAATCAATACGATTGAAAATTCAAGTTGACAGTGAAAAAAATTGTAAAAGAAACAAGTGACAAAATAAAGAAAACCTGAAGATTTAAATTAACAACAACCAACTCAGAAAAAGAACAAGTGAAAAATGAAAGAACAAATGAATATTGAAGTAAATTATAGCAAAGAAAAGAGAAACTGTAACGATATTGTGAAAGTAAAACACAAATCATCTCATATTTTATAGACACCACACTAACGATAACTTTGATCAACCCTCTGCAAAACCAACTTTGATAAACCCTCTACAAAACCAACAGTAACCTTATAGGGCAGACACCCTGCAAAAGCAACAGCTAATTTTAGATAGCATTTTTGTATCTGCATGCATCCTCCAACCCTCTGCTATATTTCTATCAATTGTTGGTCAGAAATTTGGTACTGCTGCCACACAATTCACATAATTTTGCAAGCCTGTAGACACAAAGGATGTTTGGGAGGACATCCTCCCAATCGTCCGAGAGTATGCTTTGCTCTGGGAAGTTTTCTACTAACCAGATGACCTTGGGGACAACCAGCCGGACGTCTAGCCAGTCGTCCGATTCTACAAAACCAACGAAACCAAATAGTGAAATGGTAAAGGCTCACACACATCCTCTATTTGGTGAAACATTTTTGATATTCTCGATTTGATACTAGTTTGATGAAACTATTGGAGATGAAAAATGACTCATTTTTCATCAAATTCAAATCTGATGATAACTTTGATACAGCGTTGGAGATGGCCTTAGGTGGCCATCTAGAAACGATGATGGACATTATGCGAATGGATGCTCCCACATTCATTTCATTGAAATATGCCTTAATTGGCAATGGGTTTGTGAAGATCAAAAAACTACGTATGAGTGTTGAGGAATTGCTTGGCATTTTTTTTATATATATGCGAACAAAACAACTGCCATAGGGTAATGGTCAGCAGATTCCAACACTCGACTGAAACAATTTGTTGGCACTTTAAGATCATAATGCGAGCATTGTTCAAGCTTGCAACAACGGTTATCCAATCCCGCAACCGTTGTTGCAAGCTTGCATAGTGCTCGCATTATGATTTTGAAGTGCTAACAAATTGTTTCAGTGGAGTGTTGGAATCTGTCACCAAACAGAAACACTGCAACAAATATTAAATGACGTCAATAATGCATTTCTCCATGGAGATCTTTTTTAGACAATTTGTATGGCTCCTTCACCCAGTTTTCGGGCTAAGAGGGAGTATTCAGGAAAAGTGTGTCGATCATGCAAATCCTTGTATGGTCTGAAACAGTCTCCACAAGCATGGTTTGGTCGTTTCAGTTCTGTTATTATATCTATGGGCTTTTTTAATGCCACTTTGATCACGCTTGTTTCATTCGCCAAAATTCTGGAGGTCAATGTATAGTCTTATTAGTTTATGTGGATGATATTATTCTCATAGGTGATGACTCTATCAGCATTGGTCAAGTAAAGAAGGACTTAGGCCAAACTTTTGATATTAAGGATCTAGGATGTTTTCTGGAAATTAAGGTGGCTCGCTCAAGGGAGGGGATCTCCTTATCTCAAAGAAAGTACACCCTTGACTTGCTTCAGGATACTGGTATGTTAGGGTGTAAACTTGCTTCTACTCCTATGGATCCTAATGTCAA